CAAAAATGTTTTTAAAAAATTATCTGGTCACTCAATCCACGCCTGTTTGTGCAACACTGCTGTGTGCAATTGGCTGCAGCATTTTGCCCACAAAACGTAGTCAGTTCACCTTATAGTATATTTTGTGAAGCGCTTCGAGACGTCGCGAAGACGTGATAAGGTGCAATATCAAATGCAAGGATTATTATTATTATTATCTTCGTGGTGAGGCAAATAACTATTACAGGGGAGGACAGAAACTCGGCAATGAGTAGATCTCGGATGAGGTTAGACTGCATGGTATACACTGTGCTTGTATGTACTCAAGTGGAAGTGAGACTTGCCATTTAGAGCTACGTGCGCAAAAGTGGTGAAACGTATCTTCTGCTTTTTCAAGTCTGTGTGCGTTTGCTGCCAGCTTATCAAAATTACAACTATAAGCAGGAACAAAAAGAACAACTGGCCCTCGAATGGAATGAAAGCTAGCAATCCAAACAAAGTTTTAGTGGCACAAGGCAGATGGTTTCAATTATTGAACTATTTTGTAATTGCTTTATTCAGCTCTTTCATGTACAGCCTCTAATAGAAATGGTCATTGGAGGACATTGCATACCCACATAAAAGTAATAATAATAATAATCCTTGCATAACATCTCAAAGCGCTTCACAGAATATACTGTAAAGTGAATTGACTGCATTTGTATAAAAGTAGCTGCTTTTGTGGAGTGTCATCCTTTTTGTCATGTAATTTTAAATCCTTCCACGCCTTGGCACCCCCCTACCTCTCCAACCTCCTCTCTCCTCACAGCACTACCCGCTGCCACCGCTCTACTGGCTCCGGCCTCTTCCTTGTCCCTCGAATCCTCCGCTCCACCTCCACTGCGCCCCGTAGCCACAGAACTCCTCCCTTTAAGCCCTTCGCCTTGCCCCCCCTCTTTCCCCATTTTTCGGTCTGAAGACCTTCCTCTTTGACTGTGCCTACGTTCACCTTCCCCCTCCCCCGGCGCTCTGGGACACCGCCAGGCGTGGAGGGCGCTAGAGAAATGCAAGTTTTGTGATTTTTGCTGTACAATCGGATCATCATTTTGTTCTGCATTTCACCCCCACCCCCACCCACCCACCCACATTTATCTCCTTATTTAAAAATAAATGAACGTTTGTTTTATAACTACTTTAACCTTTTGAATAATGGCACAATTAATCAGTTTCTCGTACAACAAAGAGGTTATACTACTTTTCCTTTAAAGGTTAAGTACTTGCTGTGTGAAAGTCTAGGAATTAGGCTGCGAATGGGAATAAGAGCATATGGAAGCAATATACTGAACATGATTATTGCACGTTTTGTAACATAGAGCTACATCTAAATCTGAGCAAACCAGGAGGCAAATTAGATTGCTGACAGACAGGAGAATAAAATACTTTTCAGGAGAAGTGCCGTGTTCCAGGAGGTTTGTGTGCAGTACCCGACCTGAAAAAAGCGCAGAAAAATCCCTCATTCTTATGGCAGGTTTTTTTTTGGATCCTCTCCCAAGTTATTTTCACAAGACATAAAACTATCTTTTATTACAGCCTCCGCCCCCATTGTGAGCTGCCATCAATTTAGTCTCATGCAATGCAAATCTGAAAGTCCCATCCACCTCAGGTTATTAGAGTTCTGCCACATAAACATACATTATTTCCAAAGAGTTTGGGCATTTTACCCCAGTGTAATCTCAAATAAGGTCAACGTTAATTATGAAATTGCTGAACTTTTGTTTGCATTCGTTCTAGGAAATCTAAATAATGTACGAGTGGTAATTTACATATATGGAATTACTAACAAGAAGACTTTGGAACAACTTTGCATTGGTTCCAGAAGTCTCATTGCAATTATCCAAAGAGGTGAATTGTTGTGTAAAGCCGATCTGTTCTTTTGAAAGGTTATTATCAATGGCAACATTATAAATCAATGTTAGTTTCAATGAACTAATGACGATCATACCATAAATAATAAAGTAACGAACATGTTTTATGTTGCTTTTGCACTGAGACCTTTTACCACACGTTGGCTAATTTATGAGTTTGTTTCATACTTTATTCTATAGGGACTTGATGTTGAAAACTGCTGTGTAATGGAGATTTGTTAACAGTGGAATATTGTCACATGTCCAATTGGTGACTTTAGTATTAATGCCATTGGGCAGGCTGGATGGGGTGTGCGTTATTGTAAAGTAGAAAATAGCAGTAAATTGGATTTTTTTTTTGTGGGAAATGAAAAATAGTGTCAAAGAGGGCTGCTCCGAAATTAGGGCTGCTGCACATTGTTGGGGGGCAGAGGACGGGAGTTTTACTCGACTGCAACAGCTCTGGGTCACAAATTTGCAAACCTGAAAAGAATATCGGAATCAAATGGGTCACAGCAACAGAACGAAAAGCCTGGGTGGCGTCACTGCAAAAGTAGAACATATTATGTATAATATTATACATATCATTATTATTCCCACTCTTCCTGCAAAGATTGTAAGCCTTTCACGCGATCTCTACCAATTCTAAAAGGCTTTGGTGAAGAAACAGCAGCCAGTTCAGAACATCCGAGATGGTGCAGAAGTATGAATCGTCCCCATTTCTCACAAACTGTGGGTAAGGTTCAGAGATTCAGTATTATGTTTGCTGTAACTTAAAATGTACCAATGGAATAACCACACTATTTACAGCTTGCACTGCCCTCCAGTGGATAATTACCAATTTTATTATTTTTTTTTGAAGGTTTATTCTGAGGCGTGTGGAGTAAGGAAACTTGCCCAAGGTTTCGCCCTGCCTGGGTTCGATTCCCAGCAGGGCGAAACCTTGGCCAAGTTTCCTTACTCCACACGCCTTATAATAATCCTTCAAAAAAAACAATAATAAGATTGGTCTCCTCAATCAACGACTGTTTGTGGGACACTGCTGTGCACAATTGGCTGCCGCGTTTCGCCCTCAAATATACAGTCAATTCACTTTAGAGTCTATTGTGTGAAGCGTTTTGAGACATCTTAGAAGACGTGAAAAAGCGCTACATCAAATGCAAGGATTATTATTATAATCACAATGCTTGTAATCACATTACCAGCACCGATACTGTATAATACCATACTTTGCTTGAACTAAGTGGGAGAAATGTACTGGGGTTCAGAATATATAAATATAAACAAGGAAAATCTACAATTATGTGTAAATTTAGACATGAAAACACAAGGATCTTCAGTACTTTAAAAATAAGACTTATTCAGCCACTCAAATCCTTAATTATTCTGTGAATTGCCACAGTAGAAATGCAAGTCATGTACCAGATACAGCATTCTATAAATAAATATTCACTTGATCTCAGTTCTCAAAGAGTTCATGATCAAGGCCAACTTCATTGAGATACCAGAAGCACCCACTGCCTTTGGATCCAACAACAAAAGAAGAAAAAGGAGTCAAAAGTCTTCAGAATAAATAGAGGGTAAAAATAGGAAGTGAGAATTCCTCCCGTTAAGAAAATGGTCATGAGACATGGAATTAAATGGAAATTTTCTTCAACTGATTTAACAACAAAACTGAAACATTCTTGCTTGGTTATTTCCCTTTGGTTGAGCCAAACCAAGGTTTTGGCCGCCTGCTCAAGCGGACGATAACGATTCCATGAAACGATTCGAAAAGAGAAAGGGTTTCTCTTTAATGTCCTGGCCATCAATCACCTAAATAAAATTAGTCATTCACTTCATGGCCATTTGTGGGATATTGCTGTGTGTGAGTGGGCTGCTGTATTTGCCTACAAATATTGACACTTACAGTAATATCCTGCAAAACGTTTTTGAGATATCCTGCTGGCGTGAAATGCCAAATGCATAGATTATTATTACTATACTGTTATGCCCACTCCACACTTTTCTCCCCCACTCGATGTATGTTTGCATTGTATCATAGAACATTCTATCACAGGAAATACAGGAATAGAAACAGCAAGTCAGAACTCCCAAGTAAATGAAGTGCCCATCATATTGGAGATAAATAATAATCCTTGCAATTTGGGAGATTACATGTAAAACAAATAAAAAAAAAATCTCGATGGTAGTATGTAACAAACTGTAATCTTGGTTTCAAATCGCCACAAAAATATACAGTCAATTCTCTTTACAGTATACTCTGGGAAGAGCTTTGAGACTCTCGACGATGCGATAAGGCGCTATATCAAATGCAAGGATTATTATGAAATCGGAAAACTCTCAGAGGGTTAACACAAAGGGAAAGATTGTTACGAAACACACCAGTTTAGAATTGTTTGGCTCCATGGAAGTAAATTTAACAACTTTTTTTTTCTGCTGGTTTCAACAGCTTGTTTCTTAACCAGATGTCTAGCTATTTTTAATCAAATTCTATTCTAACCTCAAGTTTTGTGGGCCTAGAAAACAATTTTGCCATCAATCACATTTGGAGCCCACACTCAGTTGCTCATAATATGTACGCTATCAGATTACTGAAGCTATTAAAGAATGCTTATGTAATGTAATTATCGGTTTCCATTTGTTGTGCACTTCCCTTTTTTTTAATAAATCGCTGTCTTCGTTTCATTGCAAAAAAAAGCATCTCAGAGCGCTTAATAATAATATTAATAATAATCCTTGCATTTGATATAGCGCTTTTCACGTCGGGAGGACGTCCCAAAGCGCTTCACAGAATAGACTGTAAAGTGAATTGACTGTATATTTGTGGGCGAACGCGGCAGCCAATTGCGCACAGCAATGTCCCACAAACAGTCGTAGATTGAAAATGACCAATTTATTATTGTTTTTGGAGGGATTATTATTAGGCTCTGTGTGGAGTAAGGAAACTTGCCCAAGGTTTCGCCCTCTGCCTGGAATTGAACTCAGGTCTCATTTGTGGGCGAAACACACAAACTTAATTTTTAATTGATTAATTCTTGAAAGTGAATTAATGATTCACTTTCAAGAAACCAAAAAAATCAATGTTTTACAGTATGCCTTTTTGCAGGCATTAAATATGAGCGAATACTTTTCTTTGTGCCTTTTATTTATTTGTCTTTCCTGTTCAAATGACTTCCTTAATACCTACGTGTATGATGGAAATTATTTGGATCCACCCTCAAAATTGCAGGTCATTTATCAGCAAGATTTTTCAAATAAAAGGATAACTTACAGCAAGCTGTTGTATAATAAAAGTAGAAAAACATTTCAGTCAGTGTTTGGTTTCTGAAATACTGGTGAATTTTTATTTGTTGGCACAGGTATATTACAATCTTCAGTCCCTTGCTTCACATGTGCATCACACTCAAGTCGAATAAAACAAGACACTTCCAGTGACAGTATCTCTCCAGGTAAAGTACAGGTATAAAGGTGGCGTTAAAATGTAAAGGGTAGAATACATCTCATACTCTTCCCAACGCTGACCATTGTAAAAACCTGCACTTATCTCCTCCATCTAAGGCTTTACACAGGAAAGACCCCAAAATGACAAGTGTATATACAATTCATTAATTGCAAGTAGCAGATGAAAACATTTAAGTGGTCATAATCGAATTTCATTGGTTTCACTTTTTACATAACAAGATTTTCGGATATGCTTCTCAGAAATACAAAGCATTTAATACTTTAAGAGCCAATTTTATCTTGTGACTGAAACTTCATTTTTTAAAACAAAATCACATTAGTAGAATGTCTACACATCTTTCCGGTGTACACAACAGGTAAACTGACAATTGCAGTCACAATTAAAAAAAAATCACTAGAGAATAGAATACCACTTTACGTAACGCTTTAGTGACAACTCAGTTTGCTGATACTATACCTGCTTTTTTCCACTACGGTTATGTTTTTTTTAAAAAAAGATTAATTGCTTCACCTACACAAAACAGTACCTCAAGACTGAAAATCCTGTTCCAGCACATCTTAAAAATGTAGCGATCAAAGTTGGAAAATTGAAAACTTACCATGTTACTAACAGATGTTAATATTCCACAATTCTGCATCAATGAAAATTTACTTGCATTGTTTTTAAACTCTGAGTCAGCTACATAAGAGGATGTGCTGAGCAGATCTGATTCACCAGCATAAAAGGTTAATTCTATCCCTAAGTTGACAACAGATGGTTTTCCCCATGCAATGCTCCCTCCTCTTCTGAGGAACAATCTGTTCAATTAGACAGCAGATTGGATATGTCCGAGACATTATTCTACTGTAATTCGAAAAGGGATTTCAGAGATCTGTATTCATTGCCTAAACACAAAATCTATCGTATGGTAGGTTAAGAGTTATTTTGAATGATCAACACATAGCACTTATTTCAAAAGAAATGTTACTGTACTCATGTTTCACAGTAAAAAAAGTGAACCAAGAATTGTTAAAAAAATTAAGGAGGATGTACTGTACACAATACTCTTGGTTCGACATTTTACAAGTCTGGAGCTGGAATTTGAAAGCTGAGTTGCAGTTTAAGTGCTCAAGCAATAAACAGTGTCGTTTCACACTGCAAGAAAAACCAAAACATAATCAGGAAATGCCAAATTCTCAAGCTCAGTTAAGATCTCAAATTACCAGCAAACAACTGCCTGATAACATCCATTAACATTCCAGTGTGTCGTACAAATTGGGGGGGGGGGGGGGGGAGGGGGGAAGCAGATCAGGAGAATGAAGCTGAAAGGTACAAATAGGTACCGCTAAACTGAGATATATAAAAACGAATGCTCCACAGAAAATAAGACCCAACATACATGGCTGGCTTGAAGAAGTCTTACAGGGATGAAAATGCTTTGAAGGCTTTACTGAACAAATTGTGTACAAGCTCACAAAAGTGTTGTGTTGAAATGTGTCTTGAAGGTTATTCCACAAAGCAGTACAAATCAGTGATCAACTGTTTCATAGTCTCCTTTCTTTACGTAAACAGAAGTAGCGCAGCTGATAATAAAGCTGGCAAAAAATTTACAAAAGCTATATATAAAAAAATGCAGAACTAAAAGTAATACCCATTTAGCACCCAACGAATATCCCTCAGTTGAACTCCAAATCACCTGACAAAAAGGAATTCCAATGGACAGAATACCTGAGGGACATTAACTGGCTGCAACAGTGGCACCTTTATTTCACAATCCTATCAAAAATATACAATATCTAACCAAAAAACCTTCACTAGTTATGGCTTTGATCTTCAGCACTATATTTTACATCACAATATAAAGTATTGTTATCAACAATGCGCAGATCTTCATGCAAAATTTATTTATACATGTACAATGTATATTAGCAATCAAACCAGATCAAACATTCTTTCACTGAAACTTTTCAAGTCCATGCCTTTGGGACTCAATGTACAATGAGTCAGTTACTGTGGAGCGCCTCTCAGTCATCTAATGTTGGACACTGAACTCTGATTGGAGACTGCGTATGTTGAGGCCTTCTCTTCGGATAATGTTGCAACAACAGGAGTCCCGTTATTTGCCATATAACCTTGTTGGAAGGTTTCAAAATAGGAGGCCTGTACAGGTTTATGACACTGAAGAACTTTAATGGCATCATCTATTTTAAACCATTCCCTTTTTCTCCCTGAAGAAAAGAGAACAAGTACATGTATATATCACATTTTTGGTAGAAAAGGAAGTGAAAAAAAGAAATAATTTGTAAGGTTCCTATAAACAACCAACGCAAACCCTCTTATCCTTGTAGAATCGTGCATCAATTTCGTTCCAGGGATTCTGAAGAAAGGCTCCGCCATTTCATCTAATTTAGTGTATTCAGTGGATACAAAGTTTAAACAGAAATTTCCCTTCCTATTAATTAAGCTTGTGCCTAAGATGAAATGTTACCCAATAACCATCATCTTAAAATGTCGGTAATCTATTTACACACCAATACAGTGCAATCAGCAGGTGGTATCAAACAGTCAAAAAAAAATCAACCCCCAGAGCAAATGGTTAGTGCGATTCTATTTATAGTTGCACTCATGTTGGACTATGGATCCTACTCAATTCCCAGAATAATTTTGAGCTTTGAAGAATGAAAAGCAAGTCATTCCAGCTCATGTCAAGTCCAATATTTTTCAAAGTCTTAGCTTATCTTGCAATCACACACTCTGCTTTGCTTCACCACAATAATGCCTTATTAATGTTTTAAATTATTTATTTCCTTTTCTCCGGGTACGAATGATTCATTGCCTGAAAGACCAGTGCATGATGTTGCTTTGATGCAGCTGATAGCAGGTGCGCATCTGCATGATCCGTTCTTCAATTTTACCCTCCTGTACCAAGACTGGGTTTCCTATTTGGAGACTTGATCTGATGGTTTGGCCAAAAACCCAAACCAGACTATTCTGCCACATGTGGATTATCATTGTGGGATTATGGAGGCATTCAACCTATAATAACTCTTCACTCTTTATCAACAGAGTTAGAAGAGAGCCTGGAATAATTTGACTTCAAAGCCCCTCTCTCCAAAGTCTCCATGTTTACATTTCTAAGATTTGTAATTTTCTACATGGGGATGAATGGTTTTCCCAGAGCAGAGACTACATTGAATAAGGTCATTGTAGGCGTAAAACAAATGTATGGCCAATACAATGTCAACTTACCAATATTAACAGAATCCTCCCAGTCTTCTAACACTTCGGTTACAATCAAAACATACACATAGGTTCTGTGCTTCCGTTCTTGATTCTAAAAAGCAACAACAGTTTGAGCAATCAGTTTTACAACTATTCACAATCTAAGGACTGGCTACAGAATATTGCACAGAACACAAATAACCATTTTTGCACATTTAGAAACAAAATCAGCAGTTCTAAAAACAATTACAATAGACATAAAAACAATATTCTTTTTCAGCTAAAATCACTAGCCCCGGGCCCAACAGTTAAGGACAGTTTCTATGTATAAACTTCACAGTTCCAGCTCCCTCCGAGTCAGAATTGTCAGCTTGTGTCCCTTCCCATATGGTAGGTTGAGCATCATCCTGGGTGAACTCTCAGAAGCACCCGCTACCAAACTAGCCCCCAAAGCAGAACCTTGTGTGTGAATTTCAGCTCAATGTTTGAGACATTGCTGAGTGCAACCTGCTGCCAGGTTTCGCCCACAAAACAACAGACACAGTCTAACTACTTCACTAATACTCATTAAGCATTTTGAACAACATTAAGATTGAACAAACTATTAAGATTGGAAAATGTTTGAAGGGGAAGAATATAAAAGGGTACAAGGAAAGAGCAGAAAATTGGAACTAGAGTTGCTAGCTGCAGTGGATCAACCAGCAGGACCTTAGGTTTGACTGGTTGAATGATCTTCTATGCTGGTAACTTCTACGAATCTATTATCCCATTGAAGCATGATTTAACTTAAAGCTGCAACTTACTTCAAACTTGCCTACTAATCTTCCTAATGTCCCTTTTACGCCAGCCTGTAAACAGAACAGAAAAATGATCTTTTTTAACATTTTACAATAGCCGTGTCCCTTCAATTTACAATAACATACAATTCCTTTTGATGCACTGTTTGAAAATGAACTTCATAGAATGATTACGGGTGACAAAGTTAACCAACCACCAAACTGACTTGTTCTTTATCCTACTGCATCACAGAACATTAGAAGAACTACCTAGCAGTAGGAACCGGTTGTTAGTTGATTGGCTGATTGCTTTTCTGGGGGTAATAATTCCTTAAAAAAAATAAGAAATTAGTCACTCAATCCATGACTGTTTGTGGGACGCCGCCCTGCGCAATTGACTGCCGCAATTCGCCCATAAAATATACAATTAATTCACTGTACAGTATATTCTGTGGAGCGCTTTGAGACGTCTCAAAGACGTGATAAGGCGCTATATCAAATGCAAGGATTATTATTAACTGAATTTCTGCTCTGCAGGTGGTTTCCACTGTCGTTTCCACTAGGATTTTAGTGTAGGGAAAAGCCCAATCTGAAAAGGTTGCAGCTGACCACATTTATAATAAAACATTCTAGGATTCGACGGATAAAAGTGCCTTGTACCTCATTTCAACCGCTAGGTGGCATTTAGAAACTGACAACTGGACCTACAACACAGTAAATGGCATATTCTTAACGCCACCTATTGGGAATTGAGCACCACAGCAACATAATAAAATTCACTATCCTTACCCTTTAAAGATTTTCTGCCGCACGTCCATACGTGTGCGCACACACAGTTAATCCCCGCACTACTACGAACCGCTTCAAAACCCATCTTCCTGTCTACTTTAATTTAATTGTAATTGGCTGCCGCGTTTCGCCCACACAAAAAAAACAGTCAATTCACTTTGCAATATATTCTGTGAAGCGCTTTGAGACGTCTAGAAGACGTGAAAAGCGCGATATCAAATGCAAGGATTACTTTTATTATTATTATTATTACTGCCATGTACTGCATCCTGTAGCGTTTTGAGAGTCTCGAAGACGTGATAAGGCGCTATATCAAATACAAGGATTATTATTATGGTAAACCTTTGAGGAGGTTGGTCGGAAAAAAAAGCTACTTGTTACTCATTAGTTTGATTAATATGGCCTTGACTTTAGCTATACTGAGATCTCTTAACTGAAATGCGTAGACAATGCACAGTTATTGATGAACAGGAACAATAAAAGAGCATAAGCTTAGTGTAGGGAGCAAATTCTGAACTTGAATAAAACCTAGCTCAAGCAACTTAAGCCAGCCGCCAAACTCTCAACAGAGATTTTCTCCTTCTCCCTACACAAGAGTAACAGCATGAAATCGAGAAGGGGAGACACATGATATGATTACACTTTTGCTGCGAAAGGGTCAAGTCTGTTTAGAAAACCACTTCTTTCTCCTCGAGTGCGCACGTAGGAAAGGATGGGGGGAAAAAAAGATACTCCAGTCTGCATATTTTTAGTTTTTAAAAAGAGTACAACAACTAAACCTGAAATGTGTAGAAATTACTGTGATGACAATTTGTTTCTCAAAGTCACGATTTTGAAAGAGTTAGGACACCTTATTACAAATGAGTTTCAGTATCAAATTTCTTGTAGGAGAGATTTCTGAGAAGACACAATATTTTGCCAACTCAATTTACTTTATTACATAAGAGAAACAGAGGGCTCAAAAGGTCAAATGTAATAAAACAGATATGAATATAAACAAGAATTCCATTTCATACCAGACACTTTTAACATTTTTTTTCCTCCGACACAAATCCCAATCCAAGCTCCTGACAATGTCACAAATAGAACAAATCAACTGGCTTCAAGCCTATTATCAGGCACGTCTAAATCTGTACTCGTCAAACAGCTACTTCCCTTGTTAAAAACTTTTGTACAGAGGCAACTTTAAAAGGGCTTTATGTTTATTCACAAAAAAATCTAGTGATTATGTATGGGGTGGGGAGAGTGACGGTGGGGGGGGAAAAAGAGTGACATTGCCTAGCATACTTTCTGTGCAAGTAATTTAGACTAACAAGGCTTTCTGTGCAAGTAATTTAGCTCTCAGATGTTCTGGTGAATTTTGTTTGCAAGATGAGAGAAGAAATCAACTTAGAAAGAGGAGGGAAGAAATCAAGTTAAAAAAAAAAACTGCTTAAATGAGTGCCACTTAAAAAGTTTTATTCAAACTCATGCGGGTACGTGCTTGTGAATGGTTTCGTTGAATTAACACAATCCTGGACCACAATGTTTAAAGACTTAGAATTAATTGCATTGCTCTTTCCTACAGAAGCTGCAATTGGGATTCTTTTACAATGTTCCACGTGATGTAGACTGACAACCAAGTAGCATGTAATCTGCACTGGCCAAAACCAGTTTCTAGCCTGGAGATTGCCCAGCTGCACAAGGGCAGTGCCAAGATATCTAACCTCCTGAACTGAATGATCCGGTTCTCTTCGTTTATGCCAAGCAGCAAAAAATAAGGGACAGTTGGCAATTCTCAAAGGTAAAGCAGTGCATTTGTTCAGATCACGAGAGAAAAGACGTTAGTTCTTCGCTTTTCATCACAGTTGCTTTATTTCAGTCATGTTCTGCTATTTATTCCCACCTTTAATATCACTCCTATTGCTTACCATGCACCTTCCAAGAATTAACAGAAAGGGTGACGAACTGCCTCTCAATGGTTAAAGGACAATAATACACAGACTTGACTTCACATGATCGATCTCATACATTAGAAAGCCAGTCACACGGTTCCATTAGATTGACAATTGTAATTATTCACGAGCCTGAGATCTAGAGGCTCGTAAAGTTCTCAGCTGGAGGGTCAAAAGGAGGTCACTTCAAGGTAACTGCATCACAAGCAGTTGACAACCTATTTTCATAACCTTACTGGAGAGTTCATACAATACAACACAATACAAAATGACATTTGTATAGAGCCATTCGTGTCGGGAAGACATCCCAAGGCGCTGGACAATCAGGGGTTTGGACCCGAGCAGGAGGGTAATTTGGCCAAAGGCACGGTCAAAAGGGAGGGTTTTGAGATAACATGGGGTTGCAGAAGCGTCTAGCTTGGTGAAGCTCTGTAATATAGGACAATATCAAGGTTGAAAAGAGTTCTTAGTTTATGCTTCTATTCCATGATTCAGTAAAACTTACACAAGTCCCATCAGTCGGGGCCACAACATTTAATATGACTTGCGCAAAGTTTGAGTTACAGGCAAGCATGTATAAGTTGTATAAAATCCGATTTAATCAATGATCTACACTGCACATGCATCATTCAATGGAGGAAAGGGAGCAGCGTTACGAGTTAGGATATGATTAATACTACTAGAGCAATCCAAGTGGTTTTGAAAGGAAACTGAATGGGAAAGGGTACATGTATGACATTGGCGATTATACGATTTATAAAGATTTCAATGTTAATTGGCTCAAGTCTTTCCTTAGGTTATTAAGATCTACAAATAAGTCTGTACGTTATATAGTGTTGTATATAGTCTGAGCTTTCTTTTCTCTCCCTAACATCATTACAATTGCCACATAATTCAAAGGTAACTTGTTTTAGCGCTTTGAGATGTACTCTGCATTAAGAACACTATATAAATGCAAGTTGTTTTTTAAAAAAATTCTCCATACTGGTTGCCAGGCTCCTCATATTAATGGGCAGAGGTTAGTTGTGATGAAGAATCACATTTTTGGTAAAGACATCATTTAGGAATAACAGAAGAAATAGGACTTTCGGAAAAGCTTGTATTTTTGTGGTATCTAATCGTATTGAAACATCTCAAATATTGTAATGCATTGCAACTGCGTAAGAGTAGTGCAGAACTTGCCGAGCATTGCACTAGCATACAAGCTTAAATCCAGATGATAAACAGTCAGCCAAAAGCATCATATAGTTTGAAATTCTCGGTACTTCTGCTAATTCAAGAAAAAAACTAAACTTAAAAAAAAACTAAACAGTAAACAAGTTTTGGTACAGTTGACCAGAAGGAAACCATGTGATTGCTATGGGTTGGCTAACCTAAAATACTTTGCAGTCCAACAATTAAACCTTTGCAAATTAGTTAACAGGGAATTTGAAATACACAGAACAGACAAAGGTGCTCTGTACATACTTCTTCACAGACTTCTCGGGCTGCTGCCACACTTGGTTCCTCCTCAGGCTCCATGCCACCTCCTGGCACAATCCATTTGTCTGGGTACCGACTGCTACTAACCAATAGAACCTAGGATAAAAGAGCATTTAATTTAGGAGATGAAATACTGTAGTTTTTTTTCAAAAAAAAAACTCCCCACCCTCATCTGGAGTGTTCAAGTCAGGACCAAGAGCCAAATTTATCAAAAATGTACCCACAATGACATCAAAAGATAGAACATAACTGAAGGCAAAACTCAGACAAGGTATGGCACTTTTTAAACAAACATTTACACAGTCTAAGAAATTTGACGTTCGCTGATGACATTCATTTCAGATGAATTCTATCCAGGCCGGACAAAATAGGAGATTAGATCACCTATTGCATGCAGGAGGACATGGTTCATTGACTGGGATCAATGGTGGTATTGAATATCAGAATAGGGTAAATCGTCACGGCAGCCAGTAAGACTCTCTTGTGCACATATAAACATACATGCACCTCTTTCTGCTTATCCCATTTCATGGTTTTACAGTTCACCCTGAGGCTTCAACTCCTTCTCTCCCATGGTCCTCATAATCAATAAGCAGTTATCACTTTAACCCCCAGTCTGCTATTCCTTGCCCAAGGACATCCACAGGCTTCTACTTAGAAATCCACCAGACTTCCACCCATTCTCACTCTGACATTTGAGTCAACCGATTGTTGTAGCCCTTCATGCCATGCCATCACCTCTCCTACCAAGAAAAAGCAGAACAGAACGTATTCAGTTTCTACTGAGAGTTGGGTTGTGTGAATCGTGCTGTCCGTGCCAGCAGACCTGTACACATTTTTATGCATTAGAGTCTGACGTAGTTACAGCAAATGATGTGACCATGCCAAAGAGCAAAGAGTAAGTGTGCTAAAAGCAAATTGAAAAAAAGAGGAAAAGGTCTGCAGTGCAAACAGATAACTACTTACAAGAATCATGAATTTAGTACAGAGGAGATATTTCAGTAATAAAACTTCTTGATGTCTCTCAGTGACTATGATTGTAATATTAGTAATTTCATTGAGAGATGTTTCTCTAGATGTACTGGCAGCAAAGGATCAAACAGGTTCACATTACGTATTCAAAATATTTTAAATTAGCATTTGGACAGTGGAACAAGCCCAACACAATGCACATATAAAGCTCAACTTTTGGATTTTATTCAGAAAGGCTGGAAATGTTTTTCGCAAGTACTGTATACCTTTGAACAATTCTTCAAATCGAGACACATCATAGTTTACAGGTATATTTATTTAATACCCAATGACAGTTGCCAAAAAAACGACTTCGCATTTCTAATGAGTGTATATCCCACATAAAGCAGGTTAAAACGCTAGTGTGTGTAATACAGCCGGGGAGCCATTTGCAGCCTATCGCCCCTCTGCCTATGAGCCTTGGCAGACCTGCACTTCTACGTGTTTCTGTGCATTCATTCATAACCTGCCAGGGTGTGGAATATTGCCAGAGCTGGAATTCAGTGCAGTTACCTCTTCTCAGTTGTCCAGTGAGAGAAACTAAGGGAATGCTACTAACAGGAAAGGAACTAAAGTGTGTTTTTAAGGTCAACAAAGCGACAAACTATGTGTTCTGTACATCTCTTTCCTACATCCTCATTTCCCGTGGGGGAAGTATCTGACCTATATTAGGAAACTGACCCAATGGTAGAATAATTAATTTCAGGGGTGTAACTTGCAGGGGATTGTGACCCACGTCCCATCAGTTAGTGTTGTAGATATTGTTGTTGGGAGCATTTGTGAGTGGTCATTGAGCAAGATAGTGGTTGGGATTGTAACCTTCAACGAAAAGTTAATACCATTGGCTTAAAATCAATCGCTCTTTCAGTTTCAACTATCCAAAGCAAAGTTCAGAAGAGCTTCCAATTTTTCCTGCAAGTAATTATTCTATTTCCAAACACTGAATGGAATATTTTACACCTATACACGACGATCTAAACTTGCACGTTTTGCTTCTCTAATTTCACACCCCAAATTATTTAGTATATTACAGCAATTAACAAAATACATCAGCGAAGTTTCATTTTTTATTTCTGGCAAATTTTTATATGTTTAAGTCAACCTTACGACTTGGTCCAGTAGGAACCTGGTTGTTTAGTGGAATGGCGGATGTGATAAGGCGTTCGAAGACATGATAACGTGCTCTATCAAATGGAAGGATTATTATTATAGAATTATCACCATGCCTTATTTTTGTTACTGGGAAGAATCCCCACCTTTACCACTTGGATTCCTTATTAACTGAACAGACATTACAGGGTGGAACCAACTGATCAACATTGCATCAGAAAGAAGAAAATATTTACTGATCTACTGATAAACATGACATACATGTGATGAATCCTTAACCAATTTTTCATTTAATTGGCAAACACAAACTGAATATGACCACCCAATATGAAGTATTCCTTTATAAAGTCAAGTTTTTAAAACCAGCGGAACACATCTGAATAATACAGTGAATCACTTCTAATCTGATATATACTGGCAATAAAGCAGTCAGGAAATTTTTTGCCAATTAACATTTGGAATATTTACCCTGAAGATTGCATTCATTATGTAAATTGCAAAGCACATTTACGATTCCCATTTTCAAACAAGGCTTTGACAGTCTCGGTGTAAATGTCCCTTTTGTTATAGGTTTATACAACACTAATTTCCTCTGGAGACACCCACTTGCCCAAAGACAGGACATTGCCAAAGGCAGGAGCACACAGTGCTAGCAAAGCAGAGGCTGCTGACAGTTTTCGAAGCACCACACAGGATTGCAAAGTATATAACCAAAATTGGTTAATTAATTTCTAGAACCAAAGCAGTACTTGTAAAGCAGTAAGCCTTCTGGATGGAGGTGAAAGTATGATCTCCACGGCCTATCCAATTCATTAGTTAGGAGGAAACTCAACAACACCATTACCAAATATCATATACTAAGCATACAGTTAATCACGTAGCTTGTTAATTGTGCAAAATATTAGATTATGGCAATCTAATATTGGATCTAGGTCTCTACCACCCTGGATACTTCCTACTGCATTGTACAGATGTTCTAAAAGTAAAGAAGAGAATGGACTCACGCACAGAAATGAATCATTTCTATGAGGTGGAGAAAAATGGATGAGAATAAACTATTTTTTTAAAATTAGAATGAACCATGAACCAAACAAATTCTCAACCAAATTATTTCAAAATAACTAGGGAGGAAAACTGCTTTGCCATTTTATTAAATATAATAAAATGTGCACAAACAGCTTGAGGGAATAAAACATCTAGAATCCACCCGACTATAAAACCTATGGGTTCAAATTCCAATGAAGCAACACACAAAAAAAAATCCCTGCATCAATTTATACAACCCTCCAGGAACAGGATACCTAAATGAGTTTGATCTCTCCAGCGGTTTTGGAGATCCAGTGGAATGTAGTAGAGGCCACCTCACTGCACGTGTCCGAACCTGCCCAACAGATTAAAACAATCCTCAAAAGTAACCAAGTCAGCAAAACCGACAGACTAATTTTCATTGTTATCTCAATTTTGCTACTGGGAGATTGCTGCCTTAACCCTCTCCAAAGATGCAGGAACAATTCTACAGAACTTTACATTTTTGGGGCATTCTTACATTGAAGACATTTCAAATTTTGTAACGGCTTTCAATACTATTGAATGCAATACAATTATCAATATAAATTATCTGATTTAATCCTAGTTGGCTATAAAAGTGGTTGAAAAATATCACCCCCACATTTTACATTGATACAAACATACAACAGATTGCATTTATATAGCGCCTTTCACATTGGGAGGCCGTGTTACATTTATAGGGATGGTTGAATGGATTGCTAATCTGAACTAATTTTATCACATTGTCTGATAAAGATTAAGGAACCATGAACCAGTCTCTCATCTGAACAATCAATACAGCCTGGTAAATAAAGAAAGGTATAATTGCAAAGTTTATTGTTAAAATAAATCAATATTTGATATTTTATTTATTCTAAATTACTCTGCTTGTATTTATTCAGTATTTATTCTATTAATGTCTACAGTTCACCTTCAAATAATCACAGGGAACATCAAATACAACCCAATTCCTATTAAAAAGTATTGCTGTATGGAGAAGAGGTTTGACACCTCAATTCATGAAAGCCTCAAAACACCAATGCTACCCAATACTGACAATACATCATTACATCTTGGCATCTGGAACAGATAAACATAACATGAAGCAGCCCATATATAAATGAAAACTGCATTGCTGGATAGAGTCCAGAAAGTCATAAGAACAAACCAGAAATGTCTCCTATTTCCCATTACCTCCCTCGGAGCTTTTCAGTTGAAGCAGTAAAACTGCTTGAATCTCTTTCTGCTTCAGATCCAATACACTTCTGGAATAAATCTATATTATTTTGTATGCAACCGAGCAACATCAGTCGAGACACTTATGTAAAAAAAACCTGATACCAAAGTCATCTTTTGAGCACATCAACATTATTTCTGAATAAATACAGAGCCAATAATCCATTTACAGAAAATATTGACTTAAAGCAAATTTCCAGGTTTAAAAGAATCAAGTGATAGGTATCTGTAGCAAAACGTACAATAGTTTAGAAAGGCAGGTGATAAGAAGTGTTGGATGATGATAGGACTGATACATGACTTCCAAAAATATTAAGTGCAATGTTTTGGGCAATTTCTATATTTTATTTGCATAATTTTATATTTATTATTCAGATGTTTACAAGCAGCATACTGGGTGGCTACTGAACAAGCAAGAGAGATCAACAACAACTTGCATTTCTAATAGCGGTGTAGCATCCCGGAGCGCTTGACAGTGGCGGAGTCTGACCCTGCCATATTCAGTGTGAACAAATTTAGTGACAGCCGGACTTTTTTTTTAAGTCCACTTGTAACCTACTTTGATGCAACCACAATTCTACAACTCACAAGACAAGGTGGCCCAATACAATACAATTTACATTTTTGTAGCGCCTTTTAGGTCGGGAGGATGTCTCAAAGCACTTGATAATACTGGCTGGGCACCCAAACTG